CATCCACCAGCTCAATGCCCATTTATTTTAGCTGCTCAGCTGCTAAAATTTATGATAGAGGGCAAGTTCCACACCTTTAAGTTTTTAGAAATACTACAACATTAACTGAAGAAAAGAAACTACACAAAGTATACTAAAATGATAGAATACTAACTAAAATGTACATGTGTAGCAGTAATATCAAAAACACAAACAATTTAATGAAATCTTTATACTAAAAATAATAGAAAACTAACTAAAAGAGGCAGCAGTAATAATTAGAATATCAATAATACAAACAATTAATCAAATCTTCATCCTTTTCAATGACTCTATTACTTGAGCCATAGTAGGACGAGCTCTAGGATTAGCATTAAGTCCTCTTTGTATGAGAGACTTCATATCAGACCAGGAGACACTACCAGATTGTACTTCTCTCTCTGCTGTTGTCATTTCTGGGGGAGAGTACAACGTCATTTCCATAAGGAGAACAGAGTAACTATAGACATCCATTGCTGGACTGTGTTGATCAGGATCGCGAGCTTCTGGTGCAGCATATGCAACATTGCCTGGCATAACAGTACCAGTACTAGTGCCTTGTTGCAATTTAGCTGTACCATAATCTGCTACTTTAGCTTCATAACCAGCAGGTCCAGTGCAAGGCTTTAATAATACGTTAGGACTACTGACATCTCTGTGAATAATAGGCTGAGGCTTAAACAGGTGAAGGTAGTTGAGGCCTAAAGCTACATCTTGAGCAATACTCAGAATCTGTTCATTGCTTAACTCAGTCTCCTGTAGCTTTTTATAAAGACTAGTGCTCATCAGCTCGGTCAAGATGAGAGGATTACCCACTTTAGTTGCACCAATAAACTGGACCAGGTTAGGATGACGTACTCGTGATGCTATACTCATTTCCCTGGAGAAGAGACCTTGGTTGTAATTTGAGATGATGATAGCATGAAGTGACTTGACAGCTACTCTTAAACCTCTAAAGATACCAACTGTAACAACAGCATAAGATCCTCTTCCTAACTCCTCCTTTGTCAAAGTCACCTCATCTTTATTAATAACCCAGTGATCATCAGTAAGTGCTTGTTGCTGGTACCTACGAACTGCCTCTTGAGACTGACGTAGCTCCCTATCCTTCTCCTGTAGCTCCCTGTCCTTCTCCTGTAGCTCCCTATCCTTCTCCTGTAGCTCCCTGTCCTTCTCCTGTAGCTCCCTATCCTTCTCCTGTAACTCTATATCCTTCCCCTGCAGTACCAACTGATGCTCTCTAATCTTCTGACGTAGCTCCCTATCCTTAAGTTGTAATGTCTCTTCTTTCTCTCTACCCTTCTTCTGCAGTACCACCTGATGCTCCCTATCCTTCTTCTGCAGTACCACCTGATGCTCCCTATCCTTCTCCTGCAGTACCACCTGATGCTCCCTATCCTTCTCTTGTAGCTGATGACGATATCTTCTTATTTCTTGCTCTTTCTCAGCTTTTTCTCTTTCCTTCTGCTCCAATTGTTGATGATGAAATTGAGCTTCTCTCTCCTTTTGTTGCAATTGTCCCTCCTTCTCTTCAAGACTCTTCATAAGAGCTTGTACAGTTTGCTTAATATCGGCTGTATCTCCTTTTCTTGGTTTCTGGTACTCCTCCAACCATATTCTTCTTCCTGTCTGTAGTTGCTGCTGATACTTCTTCTTGTATTCTTCATTATTCATACCATTGGTATCTAATGTATCACCTACTGTCCACTCTCCTTTACTGTTAGTAACTAAAATACAATATTAATAATAATTTTAATTAGAGGGTGTGGATATGATGCAACATTAAGTACGTCAAATTAATAGTATTTGTAGGTGAGTGTGGCTAATACACTGACCTGTACCTACATGTAGTTCAGTTAACATAACAATGTTAGGATTAGTGGCTAATGTCCGTCTCTTATCAACATATCCTCCAGCAGTTATTATCCAGACACAATGAGGACTCATAATAAACACTGAGAGAGAATGGCCACATCTCTTATTAACAGAGTGAGGTACATCTAACTGTTAATAGAAATAAATTAATAATTTATCTGAATGTAGTATCGATTATTAATACTAGAAAGAATATAAGGGGCTCAGCCTCCTGACCACACCTCCCAGTCACGCCCATACGCACGTACATACATACATACATACATACATACAGAAAGTTTTCACTAGAGTGGGCTTCGCCCAACTATCTAACATACCTTAATCCAGGAATGTTGATTGATGTTAAAGATCCAAAAATCATCGAATGTATCTTTATTCTTATCCCTCCCACCACTTATCACTAGCATAGGACAGTCTGTTCCAGTTACAATAATAGCACCTGAATGAAAGTATCTACCCACAGGCCATTGGTCTATTGCTTCAGGTTTCTTTATACACCGCCAGAACTAAAAATAAAATAACCACACCCATTAACAATGACATGTGTGCGAGTGTGTGTGTGTGTGTATGTGCATACATTCAGTACACATAATTTATTACATACCACAGTGCTGATTGATATCTCTAATATATAAATATTGCTAGTATAAGTATCCTTAGCATCATCATCAGTCTCTACTCCACCAAACAAAACAGCTCTAGTGTTGTTGATCTTTTCAATGATAAAGTGACTAGCAGGTGGTATACATTGACCAATGATTGAAGGATTATTCCATTTTCCTAAAATAATAATTATTATTAACAAACAGTAATTTAAAATCTTACTTGATGATAAATTATACATTGAGTGCTCATTAGTACGCCAGTTTCCATTAGGTAACTCAATATATTTATAATGAGGTAGTTGTACAGCTGGTTTAGATCCTAGTCCTCCTATCATTAGTAAATGGTGTACTCCATCATGTTCAAATGATATCATTCCACCACTACATCTCTTCATGACTCGTCTAGTTGCATCAATTCGCTCTATTTCTCTCCATTGAAGACTAACAGTATCCAGTTGTGTAATACTGTTGTGGTCACAGTTGTCATGGCCACACCATCCCCCGAAATAATACAATTGATCATTTATTGCAGTACAGCAGTATTCTCTCACTCCTAATGGAGGAGTACCAGTAGTACCTCTAGTGATCCATTGACCAGTTGCAGGAGTAAAGTGCTGTATATTACTAGTGAACCTTTTCTTCTCCTCACTATCATGTACTCCAGGTAAACCATCCTGTCTACCACCCCACACATACAGTGAATCACCTACTGATACAGTGCAGTGAGCAGCTCTTCCATTTAGTCGATCTATAATAAATTATTAATGATTGACAGTACATAATGCTGGAATAGTAACATTAGGACCTCGATTAAGACTTACTTTCAGACGCCATATAGCCCAGCCTCGCTGGCCAGGTTAGTGGATCACGCGATATTGGGTGGGGCTCATTTTTTTGCAAA